TGTATATATGTATGTTTGTATATATGTGTGTGCACATGTGTATATTTGTGTGTGCCTGTGTATATATGTATGAGTGTGTTTGTATATATGTGTGTGCATGTATGTGTATATATGTATGTGTGCATGCCTGTGTATATATGTATGTTTGTATATATGTGTGTGCACATGTGTATATTTGTGTGTGCCTGTGTATATATGTATGAGTGTGTTTGTATATATGTGTGTATGTGTATATATGTATGTGTGTGTGCCTGTGTATATATGTATGAATGCGTTTGTATAAATGTGTGTGCATCTGTGTATAGATATGTGTTTATGTATGTGTGCATGCCTGTGTATATATGTATGTTTGTATATATGTGTGCACATGTGTATATGTGTGTGTATAGGTATGTGTGTCTGTGTATATATGTATGAGTGTTTGTATATATGTGTGCGCCTGTGTGTTTATGTGTGTGTGTGCCTGTGTATATATGTATGAGTGTGTTTGTATATATGTGTGTGCATGTGTATATATGTGTGTGTATTTTTTTTTATGGAGGAAGCTGCCCATGAAAGCAAAAATGTCTAAGGCCCAGGAAGTGAAGATGCAGCCCTGGCTGTGCTCAGCTCACAGGGGTCCTGGCATTTGACTTGATCCTGGCAATGATGGACTCCCCTTCATGCAGGCTGGGGTATGAGATGCATCTGCCCCTTCGCTAGCTGGGGAAGGAGGATGACTGAGTGGCAGAAACTCCTAGTTGTGGAGCTCTTAGCTGGAGCCAGGCCTGGGGGCTTCACTGCACCCCAGCTACAGGGAGGTGACTGAGTCCTCCCCGAGGTCCAGTGGCTTCCCAGGGCCCTGTAGGCACCGAGCACAGGGCTAGTGCTGAACCTGGGCAGCCTCACTTCAAAGGCCAGGTGGACCTGTGACTCTCCAGGCTGTCAAAGGGACCCCTGTCTCTGTGCATGATGGGTTCAGGAGCAGAGATTTTGGGGAGTGGGGAGGCACCTCACTCGGATCCAAAAGAAACCAGGAGCAAGAGCTGGGGAAGCCCAGGCGTTGGCCCCAGAGTCCTGAGCTGGCTCTTGCTCTCTGCTCAACTGCACCGTATGCGACTCCTGAAAAGTCCCTCTGTTCCTTAGGATGGCAGTCCTGGCGACACCCGGGGGCTGTGGTGAGGATGGAGGCGCTGTGTGCATGGAGCATTTCCACCTCCTCCTCCTTCAGCTCTCTGCTCAGAGGTCACCATTCAGACACCTTCCCTGCCTGTCTGAAGCTGTGCCGCTGGCAGCCTCGCTGCCCCATCACAACCCTCTGTTTCTTCCTTCAGGACCCTTGCCAGGCTCTGTGAGGTCGTGGCTTGCTTGCTTGTTGCTGCTCTCCCTGTGACCCCAGGAGCTCCCTGAGAGCAGTTGCTTCTGTTCACTGTCTCCCCAGGGCCCTGATCTGCATGTTCCCTTCCCCTCTCCTGCTCCCATCACTCAGCCCTCTTTGCTGCTCTTCAAACATACCACGCACATTCCCACCTCTGGGTCCTGGCATCAGCAGCTCCTTCTGCCTGGAGGACCCTTCCGCCACATGCCAGCCCAGTGCTGCTCATGGACTTCCCCTGACCTCTTTGTGAAAAGACCCCTACCGGCGATCCTGGCTTCCTCCCTCGTTTTTTTCCTTCCCCATTGCAGTGGTCACCAGGGCATGCCCCACACTTGCTCATCAGTCAACTCCCCTTGGGGAAGGCCAGCTGCCTGGTGACAGGGGCAGGGCTGGTCACCTGTGTGGAGGCAGCACCTGGTACAGCTGGCGGGATGAGGCACACAGTGAATCCTTTTTACAAAATTGATGAATATGTGAAAACTCAGTGATCCAGAATCAATGAAACGTATCCTCCGAGGGAATGTTTTCTGGATCCTGCCTTTTAGGCAAAAGGGATGGAAAGTACGTGTAGAAAGCAAAAAGTTCCTTTCCCTTCTTGTTAAAGAATAATAATAATGAATATTAGAAATAAGTTTCTTTTAAAGACTAACTTTCGTCAAAGCCTTCTTGCTTTTTGCTAGTAACTCTTTGGTAAGCCCTGTGTAGCTAGTTTTTAGAGATAAAGGAATAAGTACATTCTATGTCCTTGTACTTTAACCAAGATATTTACATTATTACTTTTCTAAGTCCTTTTGCAAGCAACTTTCCCTCCCTTCCTCTTTTCCTTTGTTCTCCATTGCCTTTCTCTATTTAGAAAAGTTTTAAGTTGTTAGCCAGTCAGGTTTAGTTTAGATTGTGAAGTCTTGCTCCAACCAACAGAGATCAGACACAGCAGTAAGAACCCAATGGGTAAAGAAGAAATATGCCTGTCTTTCCTTTGTTCATTGTACTCTCACAGCAAAATAGCTGATGAGTAGTACCCTTTCTGCAGAAAGTAAAATTGCCTTGCTAAGAAAACTTTTTGTCTGAATGCTAATTTTTCCTTGTAGTACCTAAGAACAAGCATTCTGTCTCTAACAGTAGGGTTGGAAGCAGAGGGTATATTGCAGGGTGAGGCTGGAGTGGGCAGAAGGGGATTTGGCTAGGTTTGTGGCCCCTCCCTTTTATCCATGAGGTCTATGGTGTCAGTCCCAGACATCCCTAGCAGGATGCTGCGAAGCCCTCACCTCCCAAGGTAAAGACTCTCTCGACATCCTTTGCCTTAAGCCCCCTCAGAAGACACATTAATTGTAACATTTTGGTTAAAAAGAAAAACAAGTTCTTTTCCTTTATTGCTTTCTGGTTGGCTCTGAGTTAATGAGAACATTCAATCATCCAGAACACTTGGGACATTCCGGCTAACTGAGGGCTTGCTATTTATGACCTCTTTCCCATACCTCAGTACATTTGCTGAGTGTTCCCACAAGGGCCAGCAGGGACTGGGGTCAGCCCTCATGGAGCCCAGGCGCAGTGGATAGTCAGGTGACAGCCCCTCATCCAGCTCAGAGTGTGACCTGCAGAGGCTGAGAGGGCCCTGTCTGGGGGTTCAGGCTCCTGGGGGAGGTGATGAAGCCTGGAGGTGTGAGAGAGAGAGGCTGGATAGGCTCCACCTTCCAGAAGTATCCATGGAGCTCCCAAAAGCCAAAGCCTTCATGGGAAATGCTTTCATGAACAAAACTGCAGAATAAAAACCAAATTCAGGAGAAAGGAGTGAATGAGGAGAACAAGCAGACCTGGAATCTGATAATTTGCCTGGGAAATGTAGCACGTCCGCGTGCTGGCCACCATGCTGGACAGAGGCAGACTTTGGGACCAGCAGACCTGTGGCCTCATCCTGGTGTGCCACTTTTGCCAAATTGCCTCTTGTCTCTGAACTTCAGTGTCATCTTCTAGACACCAGCCCAGAGATGCTCACATCACCAACCAGGTTGAAATCACTCGTGCTAGCTTGTCCAGCAGAGAGCGCTAGGAGCCGGGGCTTAGCAAACATCAACATCCTTTCTTCTTTCTTCCCTGTCCCCTATGAGGTCATGATCCTCATTAAAGGCCCAGCCCTGTACTGGCTGCTGAGACCTAACAATGAGTCAACCAGTCCCTGCCCTCCAGCTGCTTCCAGTTCAGTGGAGTGGGGCAGCCAGGTAAACAGATACCTGCAGCATTGCAAGGGCAGCGTGGACATTTGTATCAGAGCCTGGTGTGTGCTTTGTCACCTTGCTCCCTGTCGGTGCTTTACTCTCCCATTGGAAGGGGACTTTCTTGAGGTAAGGGACTGCACAGCTCTGAAAGCCTCGCAGGACACTCTTGAAACAGGGAAACTTCACTTCGCTAGAAGTGTTCTGTGCTGGTAACTTCTGTTATCCTGGACGGGGCAATCTGGGAAGTGAGCACAGAGAACCTCTAAGCAGCCACACACAGGTGGCAGATGCCACGCCCTTTACTCCTACACAGGCTCATGAAAGCTGCAGACTCTCACACTGCTTTATTTTGCATGCAGTCCTTTGTTTTCCTAGCTTCCTGGAATTTAGAGGCAGCAAATTAGGATTTGAGGGAAAGACTCAGGACTCAGACTAGTGCATGCGAGTTTGTTGGCAATAGCAGGATGGGAAAGCAAAGCAAGATCATTCCAAATAGATCCAAGAGTCACAGGAATCCAACCATTCTTAACAGGAATCCATCTCAGGGCCGGGCGCAGTGGTTCACACCTGTAATCCCAGCACTTTGGGAGGATGCGGTGGGTGGATCACTTGAGGTCAGGAGTTTGAGACCAGCCTGGCCAACATGGTGAAACCCTGTCTCTACTAAAAATACAAAATTAGCTGGGCACGTTGGCTCACACCTGTAACCCCAGCTACTCAGGAGGCTGAGGCAGGAGAATCACTTGAACCTGGGAGGTGGAGGTTGCCGTGAGCTGAGATCACTCCATTGCACCCCAGCCTGGGTGACAAGAGTGAAACTCTGTCTCAAAATAGTAGTAATCATCATCATCATTATCACCTGGGGCCATTCAGTGAGGGGACAGCTATTTCAAACCTGTGACTGCAACCTGAGATCATCACACTAGAGTGATGTAGTAAATGAATAGCCCTCCATTCGTGAATTAATCCATGCATTCATTCTGCTGAGCACGACGCTGGGCACTGAGGATGTGTACATAAACACTTTGTGATTCGGGAACAGCAGCAAAGGTTTAAGTGCAGTCCAGGGCGGTGACAACCATGACTGCTGACTGAGTGACCATTTTACATGCCGGATGCTATACTAAAACATTTTATGCACATTATCTCCTTGAAGCCATAAGCCACTCTGGGAGGTGTGCATGATTTAATCCACATTTTACAGAGAGGGAAATTGATGCTCAGAGATGTACAGGGCTCGGTACCTTTCATGAAGTCATAAATGGTAAAGAACCTAGGATGTCTCTAGCTCCCAAGATCAGGCCCCTTTTTTTCTCCCACCCTGTTTCTTGCAACCAATGTTCCCGTATCTCCCAAAAGTATTCTTTGTATTTATTTGGTTGATGGTATTCAAAATGATTTTAGGTGGCATGCAACTGACTATTTTAAAACTATGTATTTAATCAGCATGTCCATGCATATCAGAAAACAAACATGTATTTCACATCAAATCTGCAGTATGATGCGTCTTTTGAAATGAATGTACTGTACTTGTGAAAATGTGAGTCGATTTAAAGAAAACATTAAGTAAGTCACAGCCCAGGTGATATGTGGTTATATGTAGAGAAAAACTCGAGGAGATTGTGTGTATGATGATGTTTGGGAAAAACAGGTATCCTAGGTTTAAGAAAGCAAGAATAATGTGCACAGATTCACTACAGCAGGAGAAATGGGTTCCTTTGACCGTGAGCTTGAGCTAACTGGAAGCATATTAAGATGGATACTGTGTTCAGGGGATGCCAGGTGATTGCAGAGTGTCCCCACTAGGCCCCAGCACTCATGCCGCCATGTCTGTTTCCAGGGTCCTCTGCCCTGCGGGCCTGTGAGCAGCCCCTCCAGTGTGAGATTTTCCACCAGCTGGGACGGGACCCTGTGCGCTACGACCTCACGGGCTGGCTCCACAGAGCCAAGCCCAACTTCTCAGCCCTGGATGCACCCCAGATCCTGCAGCAGTCAAAAAGGTGAGTTGGGCCAGGGCTGGCGATGGGGATGAGGCATCGGAGGTGATGTGTTTTCACTTCCCACCTAAACTGTGCACTCGGCAACGTGGTGTGGGAGGGCCAGCCCAGGAAGCCCGTCCCTCCCTAATGGAACGATCACCACCATCACTGGAATTGGGGCGGCGAAATGTCTCCCTGGGGCCAGAGCGAATCCAGCCAAGGAGAAAAGCTGGCCTTCTGGGGAGGTGGAACAAAAGCTAAAAAGCTGTGACTTCTTATTTTGGCACTTTGCCTGTCATTAAGTATCTGAGAGATGATGTGACTGGAACAACTTTTATGGACATTCAAGAACTAGGGGGTCGTAAAACCGAAATGATACGTTTTGTAGCAGTAAAAAAAGCTCACCACGTTCCCTGGCTGCTCAGCCCAGAGTGCCGGCATGAGGCTGGCAGCATTCTCTGCCCTCAGTTCAGAGGGTTATTGGAAAATTATGTGTGTGCGTGCGCGCTTCCAAGTTCAACGCTGGAATTCTGCAAAGGCAGAGCTTAGAGATAAGAGAAACTGAGACCGCCAGAGAGGTGCTGGTGTCTCAGGTAGGCACCAGGGTGAGAAAGAACCAGTTGCTCACTACCCGCTGTGTGCCTTGCACCAGCATAAATGCTTTATGGGCATCTTCTTATCTTTATCACAGTATAGGATCCTTAGCCCCATTTTACACATGAGAAAAATTGAGGCCCCAAACAGTGAAGCAGCTTGCTTTTGCTCACACAGCAAAACAGTAGCACCGCCGGGACCCCACTGAAGTCTAAGTGATGCTTGGAGAATTCCAAGGATTTAATGTCAGAGCTGATTAAAAACCTGTATCCAGGAATGGGGCTCATGAATATCCAGCTCCTGGAGAGAGATTCAGGCCAGGGATAGGGCAACAGGAGTCGCAAGCAACGGAGGACTGAATGGCGACCCAGGCGACCCCGGTTGAGTCCCAGCCCTGCCCTCTGTCACCTGAGTGACTGTGGACAGTTGCCCTCCCTCCTCTGGGTTCTTTCTGCTTCCTGCACCATAAATAAGAGTTGGACAAGGCTACAAGACTCAGCGGCCATAGTCCAGCTTTGGAGTCAGGACAATGTTCAGATTCTGTTTTTTCCTCTTTTAAGCTACATGAACTGGGCTTCAGTTTCATAATCTGAGAAATGGGAGTGAGGCTGCAAAGCTCCCATGTCTGATCTAAGAAGGCTATGGTGATGTAAAGTAGCAGATGACATATTAGAGAGCCTGGTGCATGGTTGGCTCATGGAAGACGGCAGGCCAGCTCTGCTTTAGCGGAACAGACACTTAAAAAGCTAGCACCCTGGCCGCTGACCTCGACCCTGTCCCCGACGGGGATGCTGACGGAAGGCACTGTCTGCTCAGGTGTCGGGCTGGGTATTTACTTGACGTTATCTTGCAGGTCCAGAAACTGTGTGCCCAGCCTGAGTCGTTCCTTCTTGCATGAAACACATGGCCTGTGCCTACCATGTGCTAACCTGGTCTAGGAATAACAGTGATGGTTTCACCCTCTAAGAAATTATAGGCTTCATAGCATTGCTCTAGGTATGTAAGTGACAAGAATATCCATAGGACGGATGTTCTCAGGCTAGGGAAGGAGGGAGCATTTGCAGGTAGGAGATGGGCATCAGAAAGGAGCTGGCATTTGCCATGAAGCGAAGCCTCACCCGGCAGGAGGGGCTGTGAATGAAGGGGAGCAGCTGGGACATGTGACTTGCACAGGAGGCTTTAGGAAGCAGAGGGGCAGGAAGCAAGAGGGCTTGTTCCCTGTGCCACCACCCAGGCCAAGGCTTCCCTAAGAACCTCCTAAATCTCCTCTCTCTTTTCCCTCCTCCCCACCAGGGAGGAGCTGCGGAGTCTATTCCAGGCCCGGGTCAAGCTGCCTCCTGTGTGCCGGGCTGTGGCTGGTCTGGAGGGCACCTCCCAGCAGGCCCTGCAGAGGAGCCGCATGGTGAGGAGGACATTTGCTGGCAGCCTTGCCGCGGTGAGGAGGAAAGCCCCGTGCTCCCAGATCAAGCTGCAGATGGTGAGTGGGCACCGTGTCTCACGGTGTCATGGCCTTCACTGCCTCACATCCTCATCTCCTCCGGGCTGGGTCATGTGCCTGCATCATTTCTGACCTCCCCAGCAAGGCCAGAGGGGCGAGCATCACCCCATACCCCACAGAGGAGGAAATGGGGGCTCCCAGCCGTAGTGAAACTTGGCCCTGGTCACACCCCTGGGAAGTGACTGATCCAGCTCTGAGGCCTAAGCCTGTGCTGCTTGGTGTTGAGTTGAGAGGCCTGGGGGAGTTTCCACGAGCTATGAATGCCCTCCTGACAACAGTGGCACACAGGAGAGCCAGACTAGCCCTGTCTGCCTTGCTCACCACTAGTTTCCCCTGGGGCAAGGCGGCAGGACCCAGCTTGATGTAAACATGGTACCTAGACCTTGGATGTAAATCATGACCAAATGAGAACACGAGATTGGTCAGTGGCCAGGCTGAGCACAGATGAGAACGGGCTGAAACAAGGAAGGACACCTTGAAAGAAACCTCCTAGTGGGTTATGTTGGAAATGCCCTGAGCCTGAGTCCTGAGTTCTAGGCCTAGCTCTTCTGCTACTGGTCCGTGTGACCTGGGGCAACTCACTTGCTCTCTCCATGCCTCAGTTTCTCCATCTGTTTCAACAGGGACCATTATTTCTCATGAGTACAAATCAGGCTGTAGGTGGGAGCTCCTTGGCGTAGGACATGGGGGCCCCAAAGATGCCCAGGTTGGGCTTAATGAATATTTGGGGAGGGTCCAGTCCCCTTTCTGTGTCTTTCTGAGACAACTGGCCCTGACCTCCCTCTCTCCGGTCCTAGGATGCACTGATCAGCATGATCAAAAGGTCCCAGCTGCACTTTATCCACTGCCTGGTTCTGAGCCCTGTGGTGGAAAGCGGGAATGGGCGGGAATCTCCAACGCCACCACAGCCTGGTAGAGACAAGCCTGGGGCAGGTGGACCCCTGGCCCTGGATATCCCAGCACTGAGGGTCCAGCTTGCTGGATTCCACATCCTGGAGGCTCTGCGTCTGCACAGGACAGGTAAGAGACAGCTAGAACACAGCACCTTGTCTCTGACTCCTGGGACATGTCCAACCACCAGTGGTAATTGCCTGTTACTACCTGTAACAGGAAGCCAAGGGATGCGAGCCCCTGCCATGTGCAAGGAGCTTCACACCCAGCATCCGGGTTACTCTTCCCAGCAGTCTTCTGATGCTCAGAGAAGTGGAAGCACGTGCTCAAGGTCAGACTGCCAGGACATGGCAGAGCCTGGATTGGGACCCAGGTTTCTTTGAGTCTGAAGGACATTTTTTTTTCCCTTTATTTCTTCTAAAAACACACACTCACCCAAACGGGATACATGTGCAGCACCTGCAGTTTGTTACATAGGTATACGTGTGCTCTGGTGGTTAGCTGCACCCATTGAAGAAGCCCATATTATTTCTAGAATTGCTTGTAACTCCTAGAAGACTAGGGCTGCACCTTCCTTATAGGCGTCACCTTCTAAGGAGCATCGTCTCGCACTAGAGGGTGGAATTTCCATGATGAGTGATATTTTGATGTTCACGACGCTCAGTTTGGTTTGGGACATTGCTGTGATCCCAGGAGGTGATGATACGATTTGATGAGGGCTCATTTCACCCAGGGATGCAGGAGGCCCTGAGACCTAGAGAAGGGAGATTCCTGCTTTCACTGGGAGTTTGGGGAAAACTCACAGCGACATAACATCATAGTCAGGCCTTGAAGCATAAGAAACTGCTCACCTCTGGCAAGGGGAGGGAACATTAGGCAGAAGGATCAGCGAGTATGAAGGAGGGAGGCACAAAAGGGCCAGTTTTTCCAAGAAGTGGATTCAGAATGAGTGAGGAGTTGTGGGAGGAGAGGCTGACACACCCAGCAGGACAGGCTATGAATGCCTCTGTTGGGTTATTGCCAGGTCCACCTGGAGAGATGACGGGCTGGCAGGGGAATGGAGGGGTTCTAATCAAGGGATTGAAGTTTTGGGTCTGTATTTTAGAAAGCAGATGTGTACCTGATGTCCCCACATTAGTGAATCTTAGGAGTTGAGCTGGATCTCAATCCTTGCTATTCTTTTTTTTTTTCTTGAGACAGAGTCTCACGCGGTCGCCTGGGCTGGAGTGCAATGGTGGGATCTCGGCTCACTGCAACCTCCCCTCCTAGGTTCAAGTGATTCTCCTGCCTCAGCCTCCCAAGTAGCTGGGATTACAGGTGTGCACCACCATGCCTGGCTAATCTTGGTATTTTCAGTAGAGATGGGGTTTCACTGTGTTGGCGAGGCTGGTCTCGAACTCCTGACCTCGTGATCCACCTGCCTTGGCCTCCCAAAGTGCTGGGATTACAGGTGTGAGCCACCGTACCCAGCTCAATCCTTGCTATTATTTTCTGCCTCTCAGTCCCCAAAGGCCACCACACTGACTCCCCTCTCTGCCAGCTAGAAATGGCTCAGACACAGCCAGGCTCTCTGCAGGGGACAGGGTGGCTGGGGCAGGCAGAAGTCTCAGGTGGGCACCTCATTTGGTTAATGTCTCCATGGTCACGAATGCCCTAGTGTACGGTCGATTCTGCCATCTCCCCCCACTAGGTTAATAATGGACCCCTAGGCACCGAGTATTTGACCGGGAGCAGCTGGAAGCAAAGATGAGACCCTCACTTTGCTGAGCATGTCATTGATTTCCCTCCCACCCGCACAGCTGCAGAGGAGGGAGACAGAATGTCACAACAGAAGGGGGGAATGGGCACAGCCGGTGGCTGTGATGTAAACTTAATTCTCTTTTGCTACTTGGCAGGAAATGCTGGGCCTTTGCAGGTCCCCTGGACCTGGGTCAGACTGTTAGAACCCCCATGTGCGTACAGAGTCAGGGCAGCCCCTTCCTGTGCCCACGTGACCTCACGATACTGTCTGCCCTCACTCTTCTTAGCACAGCCCAACTCAGCCAGGATGAGCTTTCCAACTAAGCGAAGGGTTGATACCTCATGGTAGAAATTTCCAATTTCTGTCTCCTAGACCTGGTTCATTTCCTGTTTCTATTGCAAGTCACATCTGTCTCTTTCACATTCACATGAGATATATTTGTATGCATATACAGATACATCAAATATTTATGATTGGGAATGTGTGCATATGTAATATATATGCATATATACACATGCATGTGTGATACATTCCCGTGCATGATATTTATTGAGCACCTACTACGCACTTGACACTGTGTCGTCACATATACTAAGTGAGATCATTCTCACTGTGCTAAAGGTATGTGATAAGCATTCACTAAGCATTACCTATTGTGCAGCCTGGTGGGCACAGCTCAGACTCCGGAGGGAGATGGCTTGGCCTTGATTCTGGCCATCACCTCTCACGAGCCGTGTGACCCCAGGAAATTCCCTGTAGTGTATCTCCCTTTTTTCTCCTATAATAGCTCATACCTCAGAAGGCTGCTCTGGGTATGTTAATAAAAGGCTAAAGCTCAGAAGAGTGGCAGGTTGTGGAAAAGCACGTAATGCCCATCAGCCACTTTTTACTATAATTGTCATCGCATTGAATCCTCATAGTGACCATGTGAAGACAGATTTTGTTATTCTCAGCTGACAAGTGAAGAAATAGAATCTCAAAGACATGGATCATTTGTCCCAGTCATGGAGCTCATACGGACAGAGATGGGATGTGAACCCAGCGAGGTCTCCCCTAAAGCAGGCTCGTGACCTCCCAGGTCCCCTGTCTCTGTGCTGTCTGCATCCTTCAAAGCTGGTTTGAGACTCTCCTCTTCCCCAGGAAGTCTCCAGGATCAGCCACACACTGGATTGCTGTTCTTCCTAGTTGATGCGTTTGGCTTATTGTGAAGTCTCAATAAGCAAACTTTTGGAGTGAGATTTTCCCAGACCTTTTCTGATCCAGTCACTCGAGGGGTCTTTTTGAAGCAGCCGAGGGTCTACCATGCCCCTTGTACCCAGGAAAGAGTCTAAACCTCAAGACCTGGAATTTGAGTTCAATTTCCTTTGGGACCTGGTCTGTGCTCTTCTTTGGCTGGGTTTGAATCCCAGCTGGGACAGTTACCATTTTGCTTTGTGCAACTAGGTGAATTCATCTCTCTGGGCCTCAATTTCTCCTTTTGTAAAATAAGGATAATAATATAGGCCCATGAGTGTCTGTAATACAAGGAAGTTGCTATCCTAGTGACTGGCACACATAAACTCTCAGTAAATGCTGGCTGTTACTATGAACGATAAAATAACTTTTTTCTTTTTTTTTGAGACTGAGTCTTGCTCTGTCACCCAGGCTGCAGTGCAGTGACACGGTCTCAGTTCACTGCAACCTCTGCTTCCCAGGTTCAAGCAATTCTCTCTCCACCTCCTGAGTAGCTGGAATTATAGGCATGCGCCACCATGCCTGGCTGATTTTTGTATTTTTAGTAGAGACGGGATTTCATGATGTTGGCCAGGCTGGTCTCGAACTCCTGACCTCAGGTGATCCACCTGCCTTGGCCTCCCAAAGTGCTGGGATTACAGGAGTGAACCACTGCACCCAGCCAGTTTTTTTTTTTTTCCCTTTTTGGGACAGGGTCTCACTCTACCACCCAGGCTGGAGCGCAGTGGCATGATCATGGCTTACTGCAAACTTTGCCTCCTGGGCCCAAGTGATCCTTCTACCTCCGGAGTATCTGCGACTGCAGGCATGCACCACCATGGCAAATTTTTGTATTTTTTGTACACACGGGGTTTTGCCATGTTGCCCAGGCTGGTCTTGAACTCCTGGACTCAAGGGATCCACCCACCTGGGTCTCCCAAAGCACTGAGATTACAGGCGTGAGCCGCTCACCATGTTCAGCCTTGGAACATCTCTTATCCTTTCCTGTTCTTGTTCTTGTCTGTACAGCTTCCTCTGGCCAGACTTCTCTTCCATACCAAGTTCTTTTACAAACCCTATGGCTTCTAAAAACTGAATCTAATGCTATTTTCTCCCAGCAGCTTTTCAGGTGCCCCTTCTCTTCCCAGTTCGCCACATAGAAGGATGCAGCTGTGTCCACCCTGCATGGCGGACTTCCAAAAGCCCTTAGATGCTACCCAATGCAGCATGCCTCACATAGTCTATGGGGTGGTAATACGTGTTAGACAAAACACTTTCGTTTGCCGAACAGATATGGGAACCTCTGGGCTAACGTTGGGCAACTCAAGGCCAATCAGGCATCTCCCCTTCACGAGTTCTCAGAGCCTTTGACTTGGATGCTGACATGCCTTGTGACCTTCCAAGAGGCGGATGAGTGTGCAGGTTTGTCACACTTTCAGTGGAGTTTGTGTTCTCAGGAACGCATCTGGGGAGTGCCAATCAAATATAATCTCTTTAACAAATGGAGAAACTGAGGCCCCAAGACAAGAGTCCATGCATCAAGTTATTAGCCAGGCTGGGAGTAGGACCCTGAGCTCCTATCTGGGGGTTTAGGGAACTGGGCTGGATCTTCTCATCTGGACTCTGTGCTCTTCTCCTGCCTGCTCCTACCTCCCTAGGCTATGCTGACCACATGGGGCTCACTCACTTCCGCCGGCAATTCCAGGTGCTGGACCCTCCACTCCTGAAGAAGCTCATGTCGACCTCCGAGGGAATAGATGAAAGGAAGGTAGGTGAAGCTCATGCAGGAGGAGTGAAGGCCCCAGACACTTTGAGGTCTGATGGGCTCATGTTTCATAGGGATCACCACAGGGGGCATTTGGAGCAGCTGGCATCTGAAAGCAGGACTGTGGGGGCAGTGCAGAGGGCAGCATGAACCTCATGGTCAAATGAGGCTCATCATGGCTCATCATGGCTCAAATCCTTGTCCTAGAGCAAACCCCCACAACGATGTCATTTGGGACCTGACCCAGCCCAGAATAACCCTTCTGACCCCTATGTAAGAAACTTTAGGAAAAAAATTGAGACTAGAGCCATGAAGCCTGGGCACCATGGCTCACGCCTGTAATCCCAGCACTTTGGGAGGCCAAGGCGGGCAGATCATGAGGTCAAGAGATCGAGACCATCCTGGCCAATGTGATGAAACTCCATCTCTACTAAAATACAAAAAGTAACTGGACATGGTGGCGTGGGCCTATAATCCCAGCTACTCAGGAGGCTGAGGCAGGAGAATCACTTGAACCCAGGAGGCAGAGGTTGCAGTGAGCCAAGATCGCACCACTGCACTCCAGCCTAGGTGACACAGCGAGACTCCATCTCAAAAAAAACCAAAAACCAAAAAACAAACAAAAAAAAAACGGGTAGAGCCATGAGAAGAAAAATCCCAGCTAAAAGAGACCCTAGCAAGGCGAAAAGCCATCATTTGCAAAGGGTGTTCCACTCAGCACCAGCACCCTGAGGTGGTCTATGACAAGAGGGCTTCAGGGTCCAAAATGTTTAGGAAATACTAACATCAGGGCCCCAGGGTAGAGAATTCTAATGAACATCACTCCTTAAGGCCTTTGCACTAGCTGTTTTCTCTGCCTGGAGCACTCGTTCTGAGAATCTTTGGACGGGTGGTGTCATCTTGCTCTTCAGATCTCAGCTCAGGTATCATTCTTTGTCACATCCTCTTGTTTTAATGTTATGTAGCACTAATCTGAAATGACGTGAATCTCCTCTGTGTTTTTTGGCTTCCAGCAAGAGCTCAACAATTTTTTTTTGTTGAGTGAATGAATGAATGAATGAATACTCACGCCTAACTTTGTATTTTTGTCCCCGTGTGTCTTCTTTCTCCAACTATACCGTAAACTCTTGGAATCTCATCTCTACTTCCAGTGCCAAACTTTCAACAAATGTTTCTCTTGAGAATGGCCACAGGTTTATCCATGATTAGAGGGCTTGTTAGAACCTGCAAAGCCCTATTTCATCTTCATAACAGCCCTGCAAAAGAAGAGCTATTACAACCCACTTACAAAAGAGAACACCACATTTCTTAGAGATGAAATAGCACTCTTGAGGCCACACAGCTAGGCATTTGTGGGTTTGCTCCTTGGACTCAAGTTTCTCAATTCCAGGGGAGGATAGTTTCAAGAGCATAGTTCACAAAGGGAGGTAGTTCAAACCGACCTGACTTTGATTCCCAGCTGGGGCTATGGGAATGTAAACTAGTTATGTCATCTTTCTGCTTCAGTTTCCTCATCTGTAAAGTGGGAAGGACCGCAATGCAGAAAATATATAGGGGATCCACATAATTTCAAAATAAGTGCTGCAAAAACGAAAACAAGCAGATGTGATGGAGGATGATCTCTGAGCTGGGCTCTGAATAGCAAGATGAAAGAGTACTCCATGACACTCAGTGGGGTGTTCTGAGGATGACATGGAATAGTATAGTTCGTGTACCTTACACAGGGCCTGGCACATAGTAAGGGCTCAATATTCATTAACTACCATCATCAATATCAGCAGCAGCACCGTCAATATCATCATCCTCATTCAAATCCGGGCTGATGCCCAACAAGCCTCACGGACCATGTGTTCACAATCATGTTGCAACCGCGTGTGCCTGAGATCATCAGCACAGCAGCCCTCAATCGATGAGTCAGGAGACTGGAAGTCAACAGAGTCACAATTCTTAGGTGTCTTCCTACTTCTTCTTTGCAGTGGGCACTGGGGCGCAGGCCACTTTCAGTAGACGAGGCAATGCCTTCTGCAGTGCCCTCCTAACTCACTGTAGAGGGGACATCACCCCTAGATGTCTGTGGCACAGGGCTGTCCCTTCTCTGGGTAGTGGCCCATTTTGGAAGCCATGAGATTCTGCCTGGCTTGGTGCCATCAGCCACTCCATACCAGTCTTCACTGGGGGGTTCTTTATTCTTGGTCCCCCAAAACTTGACTTTATTCAGAGGGGCTGAATAAAGCCACCACCGAGAGGGTCTTGGGCGCCTCTGTGGTTGAAAACGGTGCAGGAGTCAGGTGTGGGGGAGTTTTTTTTGCGGAGGCAATGCGTGTAGCATATGGAAGTGTTTCTATTCTGAATGAGTCAGCAGTTCTCTGTTGTAGCCAAACCAAAACCACCTCCATACACACTAGAGGCCTCAGAAAGTGGAAAATTACGAGGAGAATGGACTTGGTTGGGAATGTTTGCTTCTTCTTATTCTTTTTTTATTTGCTCACAAATTTTATTTGCTGCAGCATAGAATTTTGGTAGCAATGAAAGGAAACACCATCCTGCCTCTTATGAAAAAGCTGATAAATATTCATTTGCCAGGCAACATGATATGCCATGAATTATACATGAACACGTGCTCGGGTGGGCAAACTATCAGTTTCTTTGTGCAAAGCAGTTAAGACCTCAGGATTTAATAAGACAAGGTTGACAGCTAGAAAAGGTCAATATTGTCATTAGACACTAGACGGCAGCAGAGGGAATTCATTGTCAGGGTGTCAAATGGGTCTTGGTGAAGTCCCTTGTGGGTCTGACATGTGGTGCCTGGAATGTTGGTGTTTCATGCCAAGATGGTTTCCCAGTGAACTCCTCTCCTTTTGTGGGTACCTGATGGATATATCGTGTTCCCGAAACAAAAATAGCATATGCCTTTTCTCCCAGATGCGTAAACTCATTACAGAATATCAGGCATAATATGAAAAGTTACAGAACCATGAGCTAAGACAGTATTCAAAATATAAAGCCTTCCCACTCGGAATCATTCCCATTTCACAGCATAGGCAGCTGAGGCCACGACCACCCAGCCAGATAATAGTGGAGCTGGGATTTGAACTCAGGCTCTCAGATTCCTGACACAGGGCTTTCTTTTAAAGTTATGGTAAAATATGCATAGCATAAACTTTACCACCATAACCATTTTTTTAAATTTTACTTTAGGTGCATACTATATCTGACATTTCTTCCCATGTTATCCCTCCCAACCCTCCCCATTCCCCGCTGTCTCTCCCCTACCCGCCCCGCCAACTACCCCCAGTGTGTGATGCTCCTCTCCCCGTGTCCATGTGTTCTCATTGTTCAGCACCGGCCTATGAGTGAGAACATGCAGTGTTTGGCTTTCTGTTCTTGCGTCAGTTTACTGAGAATGATGGTTTCCAGATCCATCCAAGTCTCTACAAAGGACACGAACTCATCATTCTTTATGGCTGCATAGTATTCCATAATTTTTAAGTGTATAGGTCAGTGGTATTAAGTACATTTGTATTTTTTGAGCAACAATAGGCATCATTCATCTCCACAACTTTTTTCATCTTGCAAAACTGAAACTTGGTACCCATTAAAAAATAATTCCCTAGTTCCTCCTTCCCTCAGGCTCTGGACCTCATCATTCTACTTTCTGTCTCTATAATTCTGACTGTTCTAAGTCCATCATGGAAGTGAACTAATGCTGCATATGTCCTTTTGTGACTGGTTTATGTCACTTTGCATAATGTCCTCAACGTTCACCCATGTGTGGCATGTGTCAGAATTTCCTTCCTGAGGCAGAAAAGTATGTGTACATCTACCTTATTGTACCTGTCCATTCAGCTGTCAATAGACGTTTCGGTTGATTCTATGTTTCTTTTTTTAATTTTTATTTTAAGTTCAGGGTACAAATGCAGGTTTTGTTGTAACAAACTTGTGTCACGGAGGTTTGTTGTACAGATTATTTCATTACCCAGGTGTTAAGCCTAGTACCCATTATTCTTCCTGATTCTCTCCCTCCTCCCATCCTTCACCCCCCAACAGACCCCAGTATGTGTTGTTCCCCTGTATGTGTCTATTTGTCCTCATCATTTAGCTCCCGCTTATAAGTGAAAACACATGGTATTTTGTTTTCTGTTCCTGCATTAGTTTGCTAAGGATAATTAATGGCCTCCAGCTCCATCCATGTTCCTGCAGAGGACATCATCTCATCCTTTTTTCTGACTGCGTAGTATTCCATAGTGTATATGTACCACATTTTCTTTGTCCAGTCTATCACTGATGGCCACTTAGGGTGATTCTGGCTTCACTATTGTGAATTGTGTTGCAGTGAGCATACGTGTGCATGTGTCTTTATAATAGAATGATTTATATTCCTTCAGCTATATACTCAGTAATGGGATTGCTGAGTTGAATATACAAATACCTCTTCAAGACCCTGCTTTCTTTTTTCTTAAACTCTTGTTTCAGGTTCAGGGGAGGTACATATACAGGTTTATTGTGTAGGTAAATTTCATGTTACGGGGATTTGGTGTGCAGATTTCATCGCCCAGGTAATAAGCATGGTACACAATAGGTAGTTGTTCAGTCCTCACCCTCTTCCCACCCTTTACCCTCCAGTAGGCCTGGTGAGACCCTGCTTTCGGTTTTTTGGGGTGTATACCCAGAAGTGGAATAGCTGGATCCTATGGTAATTCTGTTTTAAATTTTTGATGAGCTGCCATACATTTTTATAGCAGCGATACCATTTTGCATTCCCACCAATACTGCACGTGGGTGCCAGTTTCTCCACATTCCTGCTGTGTTATTTTTTGTTTTGTTTTTTGATAGTTGCCACGCTGGTGGGTATGAGAGGGTGTCTCAATGTTGTTTTGATTTGCATTTCCCACATGATTAGGGGTGTTGAGTATCTTTTCATGTTCACACAGAGCTTGAACAGAAGCCCTCTGAGGACAGGCGGAGTACTTGGTGCAGTTCTTTACAGGACAGGACATCCATGG